GAGCGGAGCCGAAGTTAGCCGAGTCCCCGCATCATGGTAGCTATGCAACGCGCAACGCGCGGTGACGCCACGGTGACGCGGAACCGCTTCCTACTGTGACGTGGCACGCAACAGGCACCACTGCGGATATATAAGGGAACTGCACAGCAGCTACCAGTCAGTTGTAACGTAACAGTCGCCGAGTCGAGTTATAACGTGGCCATCGCCGAAGATAGTTCCGAGCAAGCCTATGAGCGAGTGTGTTATCAACAGTTCTCCAGTCAGCCGACTACTGTTGGAGTATAGGAGCCGTCGTGGAAAGAAGAACCGGACGTGTGCGTAATTGTGTAACTGGGAGTGTGTGATACAGTGATACATAGCTCCCCGACCGTAAACGTGTAGACTACTGAAGACAGAGTGAGCTGATTTGCACTAGGGTTATAAATCGTGAAACCCCGCAACAGTGGTAACAGATTAATGTGATTAAGGTTATAAAGTGTGAAACCCCGCAACTGTGTGATAAGTAATTGTAGCCGTTACTTGTAGATTGTTCAATAAACCAATTAACGATCTCTACGGCGTCTTCAGTAAGTCAAACACGTTACACTGGTGTCAGAAGTGGGATTTGGACTTACACACGTGACCAACGAGCTTCAAACTCAAACACGTTACAGTATTATAATGTCAGTTTGGGTAGGTTTTCAATATATTGCAAATTCAGTGTTCTTGTCATTTCAGTATATTACTAGATCTAGAAAGTTAATAGATTTGTGTTCCTCTTTCTCACTATTGAAGTTTATGGTTAATTGTAATTTGTTGAATTCATCAAGTCATACACTGAACACCAGACACAGATACTGCTCAATAACAGATACCATGGAAATTATAACAACAAGGAGGAAAGGAAAATATTTCAATATACTTGAGAAGTATCATATTTACAAAACCAGTAAGGAAAATCTACAGATGAATGATACTAATATTGATACACAGAATCCTATATTTTAAGAATAATACAAAATTTACACAAAACAACACTATACCCTCCCCCATCTCCCCCCACTCTTCACAACCATTGCATATAAATAAGGAAGCAAACACAACACATCTGCACTAGTGAAGACAGCACCACACACTGCTAGAGGGAACAACGCACAAGCAAGGGGCATGTGAGTATAAAGTAAGCCAACAAAACATAACATTAATAACAACAATCAAAAAACAATATTAACATGTGGCACTTTGTAGATTACAGATTGCAGATGTAACAGAACAATGGGCTAACAGACATAAAAAACAAGCTGCTGCAATACAACACCTGGAGATAAACATATAGTTCAAAACAAGTGGACAACACCCCTTGTGAGGTGGAGTAGAATTTCACAAAAGTAAAGAAAAGAAAATAATAGAAAATTTTAATGGATTTTATTTTATTATATTAAGTGGACAACAACAGCATGTGACAATGATTGCAGATGTATTGCGCAATGGAGGACCCCTTCCTCCCCAGCGGCACGTGGCGGTAACGTAGCGCTCTCCTTACTACTTGTCGCGCTACACAGGACACCACTCCCCCCCGGCGGCGGTGACGTGCCGAGCGGAGCCGAAGTGAGCCGAGCGGAGCCGAAGCGAGCCGAATCCCAGCGCACTGGTCGCTGGGCAATGCGAATAAACAGTGGTTGCGATAGACGACCCTAGCAACAGCGAACGGAATAAAAGCCGGCTGAGCAGCAAGCGAGAGTCAGTGTGTTATCAACAGTTCACAAGGCAGCTACGTATGAGTTAGTCCTCGAGCTACCTCCGAGTTAGTTCCGAGTTAGCCAGCAACCAGTCAGTTGTATTCTGGCATTTGCAGTGTAGTATTTGTGATACTGCAGATAGCAGTAATTGTGAATCTGTAATTTGGGTGATTGTAAGTGCGAATGTGAAATAAAATTCGCTATATCAAATACGGCGTGAAGTTATTTGTCGCGTTACACACCCAACACGCGACAATATTAAGACACCTGAAAATGGCCATCTAGGGCCAAAACATGTTGTATTAAAAGTGTAAGTGGAAGAAAAAGGAACACTTTGTTGCATTGTTGACAGATTGTGTCATACATAAACGTTTTAATATTGCTTGCAACAGGATGCTTAAATACAGAATGTCACATTCTAATTTGAAGGATTAAAAAGTGCCATACAGCCTGTTAGTTTTGCAGATAAACATGAAATTAATGAACGTGAATTCCTACCATGTTCTTGTGTTAAGCCTGTAGGTATCATCTCCCACACTGCCATGATACTTTTAATACGTGCTTGCTACGAAGATTAAAGATACAGATATATCCCAAACAGACCTTTAATTCCTCAATTTGTTGTATTTAACAGCCACAAAAGCTTACTAATTTTTTATGTTTTAGGGGTTCTTGACTGATAGTGGAAATGTGAATTTGGATCGTGTTCAGCTTATTATGGCTGACCTGGGTGATGTAGAAGATGAAATATTCAAGAAGCGACAGCAAAATGAAATTGCATTTAAGGAGAGGGAAAAGGCAAAGAAGAGACGTACAAAACTAATAAAAGAATGGCAACCTGCATGGGTTCCAAAAGGACAATTTGCTCCTCAGGTGAGTCAGTGCTGCTGCATTTATATGTAGGGAACTGATTTCATATGGTTAAGCAGACTGAACATTGCAAGGTGCTGGATTGCACTTCTGCTGTGAATTCAGAACAAATGTGCTTCATGGAGCAGAGTTCTTGAGAAGCTGGGAGTTACTCTGCTAGTCAAGAAACACCTTACCTTTTAC